TGGCTAGCGCAGATAGCCCTCGTGTAGCTTTGCGCGAAATTCAAAAACAAACAAACAAAACAGTTTCTGAATTTTTTTTACGTAATTTTGATTTGGTTCGTTTATCGGTATGCCGAAATTCGTGTTTCCGTTGATACTATCATTTACTTCGTTTTCGCATGCCATAATTCTTACGGTAATTTTTCGTGTTAGCGCTTGCCGGCAGGCGACACTGGAGCACGAGTGTGTGAAAAGGTAGGAAAGAGGGCAAATATTTTGTAAGACTACTGTAGAGTGAAAATGACAGTTTACGTGTAACTGATGGTGATTCCAAATCACTAGAACACGGAGTGTAAGAAATAGGAAAGTATTATTTCAAATATAGCTGCCGATTTTCTAGTATTGTTACTGTTGGCTATATTCAGACGGAATCGTCTCGTGCTAAGTGCCATAATGTAAAATTAGTTTTGTTAGTATTGTTGGCTATATTCAGACGGAATCGTCTCGTACTAAGTGCCATAATGTAAAATTAGTTTTGTTAGTATTAAATTTAGGACTAACCTAAATGTGCTAATCGACCGGACCTCGTAAGATATTATTAAGATTATGGCCGAAAAAATGCTAATACCGACGAAACATTCAACTCTGATCTTTATAAACAGGATCAATATTTAATTAACTATACTTATTACTGGGCTGATTTTTAACTCTGATATACCTATAAATAGTTTGTTTGATCAGAACTTATAAATGATTAATTAACTGCATGGGTGGTAATTTTCATGACAGTATTATCAAGTTAAACATACTTATATATCGTTAAAGAGCTAACAAAAGGGGCGCTCACTGTAGAACGCATAACGCCCCCACGCAGAGTTGATCATACTCGGCTCTCAAAAAATGTGTTCGTATGTCCATCGCTATCAGTTACGGATCATAATAATTTATCTGGGGAGGGGGGTGCAGGACATCCCTGATCTTGCGGGTTTTTAGCATCAGGGAGGTAAAACAAAAAAATAAGCAATAAAAAAAGAACTGTCTTTTCTTTATCTTTCTGTTAATTCGACAGAAAATAACAAACTTGTTTTTTCTTATGCGAGTAATAATTGATTTTAATAATGCTGTAAACAAAGTTATGAACAATACTAACAAAACTAATTTTACATTATGGCACTTAGCACGAGACGATTCCGTCTGAATATAGCCAACAAATTTAGGACTAAACTAAATGTGCTAATCGACCGGACCTCGCAAGATATCATTTTTCTATATCCAAAACTGTGGGAGGAGTTAAGAGAAACACTACGTGAAATAATATAGAATGACTAGCTTAGTATATAATATACTAAGCTAGTCATTCTATATTATTTCACGTTGTGTTTCTCTTAACTCCTCCCACAGTTTTGGATATAGAAAAACCAAACTTGCCAAGCGGACCCGGGCGTAGCCTGGAAGTATCCATATTTAAATGACATAACCTCCTTAACAAAGAGGGCTAAAACGTGCCCTCGATATCACACGAAATGATGGGGTTTTAAGAGTATGTTTGCAGGATGGGGTTGCTAAATTCGAACGTGGCATCTGATTTTGTTTACCTGGCTCCCTCGAGATCCCGGGAGCGCCATGTTTGAGACCAAACTCGCAAATCTATCGGGACCAAAAGTGGCACAAAAGTACCACAGATGTTTGTCGTAGCGAGATTTACAGAAGTAATTGGGGATAATGAAGAAGTTTGATCGGTATGTAATCTTGAACCGCGTAGCAGAGCGAGCTTATTTTATGATAATGCAAAATAATATCTATAGTAAAAATATAAAAAAAAATATTAAAAACAATACAAATAAATATATTAAACGTTTTAACCAATACTGTTAATGAAAGTAACATTAAACTTTAAAGAAAGAAACACCTTACTTAACACATAAACATTAGGTTTACGTTTTGACTTTAGGGAAACGTGATTCAACTTGATAAAACGTACTATACTGCAACTATAATCATAAACAGGGAGGTTGTAATGTAAAATCTTGAATGAGATTATTAAAGTTACATAGGATTTTTTTATTCAAATGTGCGATTATTAACTCAAATTTCATTCTTCCAAACCTTCGGTTCTGAAATACTATAATAATAAATTATCAGCTCCATATAATGAATGATTCGTGCAACCTATATTTTAGTTAGAACAGGTTCTTTGCGTAACCGCTCACAAACAAGTTTAATATCCTAATTAGGCATTGTACTCCTAACTAATTAAAGCCACGTTAGTCCTCTAAGTGGTTCTCTTCCAGTGAATAGGATTATCTAATGATTAGCAAGAAAATGTCACTTAATTAAAACACGGACAATGTTGAAAGACTTAAAAACTTTATATCGTATGTATAATGTAGTTTCAGTTTTTGTGTTCGAAATAGATTGTCAATGAAAGTTTCTTACGATACATCATTGGTAAATAGTTTGGAATATCACGAACCATCAGCTAACAAAGGAGGTTCCTTATTACTAAATACCTGTTGCTGTTTTTTATTGTTGTAATTCTTACATTTTATTGTACAGGAAAAACGAACTGTGTATTTTCTAGTAAGTACAACTTCTCGGAATATCTACGTTATAATCTGTTTATTGTAATATTTATCTCTCTCCTGGAGGTTACGGAGGCGATCATTGTGAATTTGAATACGACGAATGTGATTCTAGTCCCTGTATAAACAGTGGCGCTTGTGAAGACCTGGTTGCAGGATACAAATGTCACTGTGGTCCAGGATATAAAGGCCGAAGGTGTCAAGTGAAAATTGACTTATGTGAAAGTAACCCTTGTCCAAGTCCAGCTCAGTGTGTCGACAAAGGCAACAACTACAGCTGTATCTGTCATCCCGGCTATAATGGTAGTTTTTATTTTTTTATTTGTAACTTCTTAATCTGTCAAACCGGATTTACTGAAATATTTGTATCTGTCATACTGGACTTTTTTGTGTGTATCTGCTTGTCGTGCTGGACATTCTGACTGTATTTCTTTTATAATACCAAATAGAGTGCGGCCCTAAAAACTAAGGGTAACAAAGCAAATCTTTCTGCATGATTTCGCTTGAAATACAAGAGAATTATTATCTTAGTATCTTTATTGGGATTACGCTTTTCTGTTACTGTCCTTCCAGTATAATGATTATTTTTATTTGTTACGTGTTTCATTCTTTATATGTTATGGCAAAATAATAGTAGATATTTTTTCACATCTTTATCTGATACGGCAGAATAATAGTAGTAGATATTTTTTCACATCTTTATCTGATACGGCATAATAATAGTAGTAAATATTGTTTCACATCTTTATCTGATACGGCAGAATAATAGTAGTAGATATTGTTTCACATCTTTATCTGATACGGCAGAATAATAGTAGATATTGTTTCACATCTTTTTCTGATACAGCAGAATAATAGTAGATATTAATATATTCATTACTGAATTAATTCAAAAAAGTGTAAACAATCTTGGTGTAAATGGTTTCTGCATTAGTTTAATGAATTTTTTGAACATCATTGAACAGAGTAAAAATATGAAATTAGTTTCGTATAAACGTAAAGATAAGTTTTAAGCTTTCATTTGGCATAACAGATAAAGATGTGGAAAATATCCATTATCTTGCCGTATCAGATAGAGATGTAAAAAAAATATCTACCATTATTCTGCCATATCAGATAAAGATGTGAAAAATATCCATTATCTTGCCGTATCAGATAAAGATGTGAAAAATATCCATTATCTTGCCGTATCAGATAAAGATGTGAAAAAATATCTACTATTATTCTGCCGTATCAGATAAAGATGTGAAAAAATATATACTACTATTATTCTGCCATATAAGATAAAGATGTGAAAAAATATATACTACTATTATTCTACCGTATCAGATAAAGATGTGAAAAAATATACACTCCTATTATTTTGCCATATAAGATAAAGATGTGAAAAAATATATACTACTATTATTCTACCATATCAGATAAAGACGAAAAGTGGTTTACGCGAAGACCGTTTCACTCTTCCATTTAAGTCAACAATGACAAGTTTGACGAACTGCTTTACACGAAGACTGTTTACACTCTTGTAGTTATTAAGTCATCAATGACTAGTTTAACTATCTGTTTTTACGATTAACTTCTGAATCCAAAACCTTTTAGTGGATTTTGAAACTTTGCAACCGAGAATAAGATAATTTAAAGTTTTACAAATGTAGGTATGATGTTATTCATTTTGTGAAATTGTATACATTGGTATTTATGTTTAAGTCCTGCTTTACTTCGTACACTTTTTGAAGAAATTGTGTGTCATACCAAATATGTGATTAATGTATTTTTCTTCAAGCTTACTTTGGTATCTCAGAATCGTCGAACGTATCTGTAACGACATCTGAATTTGTTTTACTTAATAAATTTCTATTTTGTTATGCTTATTTTTTCACTATTGATATGTCATCAGGAACTTCGTGAAAGCCCTGTCTGATATATTGCAAGAAAACTGAAAACCTGAAGTTAGCAAGTTCCAATTCACGCTACTGTTATAAATATTTTTTATTGCATCTAAACAATCTACGAATGATGGGTTTTACAGGAGCAGGCTGCACACAACATTTCGACCCCTGTTATCCCAATCCGTGTGAGAACGGTGGAAAATGCTGGCCTCGTATCGACTCCTTCTTCTGTTCCTGCTCACCAGGGTACACTGGAGAGACGTGCACAGGTTTGTTTTATTAATTCTACAGATTTTGGTGATCCTGAAGGGATCAATTTCTAATCAGCCTGGGGCAAAATTATCTATATTAAGTTCAAACTCTAGGTCACTAAAGAAAGTTTTGAGATGGAAAAGAGAATTATAAAACATTACGGCCTAGGCATTCCAAGCAGATCATCCAGTAACACAGCCCTAAGATACACTTTTATTATAATAAGACACCAAAAAGCAACGTACAATTAATTTTAATTCTTCTTCAGTTTAAGAATAGCTCATATATTCACTGGAAACAAACTACACAATCTATTAAGCACAAAGAAACGTTTTGTATAAATATGAAAATTTTATGACAGATACATAACAAAATATATGAGGTGGCCTAAGAGCAATATTTGTATTTTGTATTTATAGTAAAGCTACTAAACCTATGTGCCGCCGTTCCTAATTTTGGGCCCCCCAGTGGCACAGCGTTATGTCTGCGGACTTACAGCGCTAGAAACCGGGTTTCGATATCCGTGGTGGGCAGTGCAAGGCCCGGCATGGCCAGGTGGTTAGGGCGCTCGACTCGCAAATCCGAGGGTCGCGTGTTCGAATCCCCGTCACACCAAACATGCCCGCCCTTTCAGCCGTGGGGGCGTTATAATGTTACGGTCAATCCCACTATTCGTTGGTAAAAGAGTAGCCCAAGAGTTGGCGGTGGGTGATGGTGACTAGCTGCCTTCCCTCTAGTCTTACACTGCTAAATTAGGGACGGCTAGCGCAGATAGCCCTCGTGTAGCTTTGCCCGAAGTTCAAAAACAAACAAACAATCCTAATTTTGAACTTCTGATCAGAGGGAAGGCACTCAATTTGCAGCACTCTACCATCCATTCTGAGGATTTGTTTGTTACTCTTATAATGCACCCGCAAATTAAAGTGCAGGGAACATTTTTTTTGTTGAAATTGAAAAACATTTAACAAAACTATAAGCCCTATATATGATTAAAACTGTGAATTCGGTTGTTGTTATCGTGTTTCAACATGTCAATGAAAACAATAGGTACACAGGTACTTCATGCCAGAGGGTGTTGCAGCACCAATAGAACCTACAGTTCCATCGCCACTGGGTATCGCACACAGAGATTCGAAACCGGCTCGTCGACTCCGCTATCAAGAGCTATGTCATATGGCCATCCCGCGCCTTCCAAAAGTAATAAGACTATTAGAACATATATATATTGGAGAGATGTATTACCTAACAACAGTCTCTATCGAAATAACATACTGTAAACTTAAACGTAAATGAGAATAGGATACGTCATTAAAAAAAAAAAAAATGTCGTCGTGAGAATTGTTGTTGATATCGTTCTTGTAATGATTGAAAAACAACAAAATAATTACATTTATGATTTATCAAAGTCTTGTTACCTTTGAATTACCCTATATACTATCTGTATCCCCAACCCCGGTAGCTAAGAAGTAAGTCGGAGGGCTTATATCGCCAAAAATCGGTTTTCGATACCCGCTCTGAGCAGAGCACAGATAATCCATTGTGTAGCTTCGTGCTTAACAAAAAACAACAACAAATAGCTGTATGCTTTGAATGAAAATGTCTTTATTTATTATAATTTATATCAGTATAATGGATACGTTCAAAGTTATCATAAGCATTTTTGTTTTCTTTAGCTGAATTTTCAAATCCAGCCAAACCAATGGCACACACTCAAGGAAGAACTGAACAGCCGCTAGAGGGTATTAGTGCTTCCTCGGAACACGTTCACAGCGTCTATATTGCCGTCTCGACATTGGCTGGAGCCTGCCTGGTCGTTGTCATTGTGATAACATTATGTCATTTTCGAGTACACAAATTCTACCAGCGTTTTGTTAGGAAGTATGGTCGTTCTAGAGTTGAAATAAAGAAACAAAAGTTGTAAGTCTTATTAACCAAATGTCTAAAACAACTTTTGTTTTTTCTAATAATAGCTGAGTTACTATATATTATTACAAAACAACTTATTATTTAACTGTGTTGGTGGAACAGTCAAATGCAATAGAAACTTCATGTTAAGTTTCTGAGTACTTTTATCGTCTTACACAGAATGTGTTATTGTAGATATAGTTATCATACGATTGACAGTTCAAATTAGTAGGATACACTTTGCAGAATAGTGGCCAAATCAAAAACACATAGGACGAAAATATACAAATATCACATGGTGTCAGCTCAGGTCAAACAATTAAACAGCTAAACCTAAACTAGTTCAATAATAAGGCATGACTACGAAGAGAGAAAGAAGAGCATGCAGACAGGAAGGAGAAAGATGTGCCGGTGTTATTAAAACGAAGAGTTGTAACTGATCAAATGGAGAGTGAGTAACCCAAGACTTCCTAAAGTACTCCAAAACGTTAAAACACAAACATTTTCACAAGAACTCTAACGTATAGCGAAAAAACAAAAACGTCTTGAGGGGTCTTTCAAAAGTTATAACCCCAACGCATTTATTGAACCTACAGCAGAAATAATGTACTTTTACTGGAAGTCTAACACAATGACTCTTTCTTGTATTGAGAGTTTTCTGAGACCTACAATCTATTATCTGTTTACTGAACGTATAGCAAATATATGTCCTAAGGGACTTTCAATAGTAGTAACCCTTAATGCAGTTACTGAGAGGACAACAAATATGAGTATTGAAGAGTATCCAAGCTTATAACTCAATACACAATCACTGGAAATACAGTATAAATACATCTTTTGGAACTTCGAAGAGTACAAACCGTAGCACATATATATTCACCATGGTATTTTCCTGGTTTATATCTACGGACGTAGCTATTTTATTAAATTAGTCATATTTTGACTTACCACTTCATAAAACGCACTTGCTGAAACTCGGAGAAGAATGGATGAAAGCTAACATTTATTGAAAGTTCCTTTTTCACATTTCCTACCCTGGGAGATGGTGGAAAAGAACAAAAGTTAGCTGTAACACTTCCTTTATGCTTGAGATCAGAAGAAGAATCAACTGTAACACTTCTTTTATGTTTGGGGTCAGAAGAAGAATCAACTGTAACACTTCTTTATGCTTGGGTCAGAAGAAGAATCAACTGTAACACTTCTTTTATGTTTGGGGTCAGAGGAAGTTAAAGAGTACTCCATGCTCTTCGGTTGCTAATCTGTTGCTGTTTAGGGAAGTCCTAAGAAGAACTATTTTTGTGTTGGCTGGGATTCGATCCTGGGTCTTCTTGATGGAAATCTAGTGCGTTATTAACACGCTTGGATCAAATTGTAGAACAGCTAGTCTCTAGTTGTATAAATAAGTTAGTTACTAATTAATGATATAACTTAGGGGGTCGTATAGACAACTAACCACAACAACGATTGATATCCGATCACAACAACCTTATCAGAAGTATTTAGTTAGAAACAAGAGCCAACCATCAATACTTCACAATTTAGTTATAACAGTTTGCTGTAACTAATATTTAACTATCGTTATATCTCCATATTTCAGTGCTCTTCATACCCTTGTTTTGAATATTAATACTAAGCAGTTATTTTAGAGTGATACAATCGGGAGGAGGAGTCCGACTATTCTGTCACATTGTCACACAGGTTATCCAGAATAAACGGATACACTTCTTGAAACTAATAACTTTTTGTGCATAGTTCTTTTTTTACATTGTGCTGTTTTATTTCGTAAGCATGTGATATTCGTGTTTTTGCTGAGGTTTACATATCAAGAGATTGTAGAGAGCCTTTTTCTCAAATAAACCAGAAGATAAAATTTCGAAGTGTATGAACCTCCAAAGTATTTCATGCACTGGCATAAACATGTTAGTTTTGAAACATACGCGCTATGTTAAATGTGTACGTTATCTCACGTGTAAGAAAGGTATGAAGTCCAAGTCAGTCATTTGGGTACATAGTTTAGTTAGACATTTTTGTATTGCGATGTCAACTCCAAACATCAATAAACCAATGGAGGTGGACTGGTTAAAGTGTGAGTTAATGCAGGCACCAAGAATAAAGAAAGGGAAAACGGAAGTAATAAACGAAATCGGTTGTTTCGATTTTTAGCGCCTCCAAGCGGCTCAGTGCTTAGACTGAGGGCTTATAACACCAAAAATTGTGTTTTGATACCCACGATGAGTGGGGCGCAGATAGCTCTTTGTGTAGGTTTTAGCTTAACAACATCGATTTTTACCCTATATGATTTATCACAGTTAAAAACAGTTCAAAAACCTGGAAAGACAAACACAGAGCATGATGGATGAATCAGAGACCAGATGTTGAAGAAAAAACAAAACAAACAAACCAATGAATACGCACCACACACGATTATCTAGTTTTAAGTGATAAAATTAAACCCAAACCTAAATGAAGCAAGAGCCCTTGTTCCTCATCATTCACCAACTAATAAATATATCCATTAAAACTACTATCACGTAATCTGCTAATAACAGTTAAGAAGGGTTTGTGCACGACGATTGTGGAGTCTCACCACGACGTTGCAGTCCATGTCGCCACGTCCAGTGATCTCCATCTGACGACTGTGCATCTCAACAATAACTCTACGGCATTGTTTACGTTGCAAAATGCTCCACCGTAATGTTGTTATGTCCAAACCATACCTCTCTGCAGGTTTTCAATAATTCATCTAATGTACGAGAACAACGGTTTCCTAGTGCCTGTTTCAACATTTCGAACCCACAGAAATCGCTCTGAGTTTGGCGACATGACTAGTATGGAATAGCGTGAATATTCGTTTCGTTCTCCAGCTGTTTGAGGTATGCGATAGTTGAATGGATATGTTGCGTACTGTTGCCTGGGGCACATGGGTGGCTTTGTCTCTGACCTTTCTGTTCATAAGACGCCACACTTTATTTTTCAGGTCTCTTTCTAGATGATCCTGGTGCCTCAAGTTTTTCCATGTTCCGTTGTTTTACAATGCCATTAAGTACAAGAACTCTTCCCATTTTGAAAATTCGAAATTCCCAATCTGAATACTTTATGAATATTTTACTTCAGATAGAACTGTGACATACCCTTTCCAAAAAGCGATCAATTTTCAGTTGCATCACACCAAAAATGCCAAAAAAGTAGTTCTGGTACATACTGTTCCATCGCAACTTTATATTCGCTGTGTGTGTGTCACGTGACTTGTTGGTTTGCATATTCAAAAGAGTTTTAATTATAAAAGTCAAGAAGTTATTGACCCCCCCCCTCCCTTTTATCTGTAGTAAACTGTGCTAAAGACTCGAAAAGGAACAAGTCATGATCCTTG